TTTTTTTTTCTTATTAAGTCATTTTCATATTATATTCTGTCTTTCACACGTCTGATTCTAGAGATACTTTGCTGTTTTCAAAATAATCTTGTTAACTTTTCCCAAAAAGCAAAGATGGTGATACATCCTTCATCTGTTTTATCTCTCCCTTTCTTTCTACATTTTTCTGCAGTAAACTTGGCACTTAAAATTTTCTTCTCAGTTATGAAGTGTTTACTCTTGTCCGTAAGTTTGACGTTCATTCCCCTTCATAATGCCTTGAAAATGGGAGAGTTGCAGGGGAAGCTTGGGAATTTTGTTGTAGGCTTACTAAATTTTGGGATCAATTGTTTTCACCCTTGTCTTTTTCAATATTCTATATTATTCTCGCCAGTACTTCAATTATTTCCAAGATTTAGGCAAATAATTCTTGAATGTGAATTGTACTTTTTTTATGTGTACTTTTGAGAAACTAGAAGAAATATGTTCTGTTTTTTAGAGCTGATTGTGGATTTCAGTTGCTCTTGCTCACTCGTAGGAAATATACTTTAAAAATTGAAGTGGTTGGCTGAAGTGCTGGTTTGAGACACTCATAATGGCAGGATTTGTAAATTTCGCCGGGCTTTGGGTTTGTTTGACTATTTCAATTTTGTCTTTGCATTGTTTTTTTGTCAATTTTATTTGTCCATTCCCTTTTTTTTTTCTTTTTTTTGGGTTTCTTTGCGAGTTAACTATTTACAATGATCTCAATTATGTATTGCATTATTCCTAGTTTAGTCAAGCTACAAGAAGGTCATCTATATTAAATGAAATTGCTCCTTTTGTGAGATTCTTTTTTATTTACTTATTCAATATCAGGAGCATGTTTTTTTTTTTTTTTTTTTTGTACTCTAGGCTGGTTCCTTAAAGATCTTCTAGTATGGCTTTGTACTTCTCATATATGTATATATGTATTTAATTGTATATATGTATCTATGTATATATATATCTATGCATATATGTATGTATGTATGTATGTATGTATGTATATAAATACATACATACATATATACATATATCTATCTATCTATTTATTTATTTATTCATTTATTTTCTTGCAGAAGCCATTGGGTATAATCTCTCTTCTGGACGAAGCTTGGTAAGCATATTTTTCTGTATCTTGAAGTTCATGATTTAGAAATGATGGTCACATAATCAGTAATGCACTGAAATTTCTGATTCTCAGTATGTTTCCTAAATCAACAAATGAGTCATTTACAACAAAGCTTTTTCAAAGCTTCCGTAATCATTCAAGATTGGAAAAACCAAAATTTTCAGAGACAGATTTTACAGTTTCCCATTATGCTGGAAAGGTATGTCAAGTGATTCAATTTTTTCCTTTGCCATCAAGATACCAGTATAAGTTTTGATAGTATGCCATATCTTTAACGCCTGCTTTCTGATTTTTCAGGTTACTTATCAAACAGATACATTTTTAGATAAAAATCGAGACTATGTTGTTGCGGAACATCGCAGTTTGCTTTCTTCCTCCAAATGTCATTTAATTTCTGGGCTTTTTGCGTCATTTTCGGAGGATGCTTTAAGATCATCATATAAATTTTCTTCTGTCGCTTCAAGATTTAAGGTGTGTTCTGAAAAGTTCATTACAACGGTTAATTTTTTTGAAGTTTGCATTTTTTGATGAATTTGGTTATGTTTTACTGAGTACGTACTGTACTTGAAATCCTGTTGTCAGAAAATTTCCAGGCCATATTAGCCAAAATATTTTACATTTATTGTTTTCAGCAGAGAATACCCCAATGAAAGTACCAGTTTTTCTGCAGCTTGTGGAGAAGAGTAGTGCTTCATATTCGGAGGAAGTCTTTTTAAATTTTGTTTGTTTTATTATTGTAAGATGGGTATGGACATTTCTCTCAGAATTTCAAACTTCAATTGGAAGTTGGTATATTAAAAACTGACAACATAGATTTCCAAGGGCTCACACATGATAAATCACAACATTTG